TTTTCAATTTTTGGTGTTTTCTTAAAATGGCCATAACTTGAAAAATTGAAGTTGGAATCAGCTCAAACTTTCTACACAGCATAAGGACCTCAATATGTACATGTACATGTTAAAGGTACTATCTTACATCTGGTCCCTGGAGTCTGTCCAATAGTCCAAAGGAGTTATCAACATCATCTAAACCGATGAACACTTTATCCTGAATGTAGTGATGCTATAAGAGAATGATAATCACATGATTAACCCATCAAAAAGATGGACATTTTTTATATCTTACCACACTAGTAGGGGGGATGCTACTGGTCGGTTTAATTGGTAGGTGTGGCTTAGTAGCTAATAAATTATTGGGACTGCCACACTCACTTTGATACATGATATTCCTAATCTTCTGTACTGCAGCTAATTAATAAATCAATCCATTATTATTATTATTATTATTATTATTATTATTATTATTATTATTATTACCATTAATAAATGATTGATTAGGTGCTTGTACACATAAATAAAGTGGGCGATCACTAAAAAATAAGGACATTTTTTATTAATAATAATTATTATTAATTAATAATTATTATTATTACTCTGCTGTGCTGTTGGCTTTCTCAGCAGGTGTCATGTATCGTCCTCTAACAGACACAGCTGCTCCAGTTCCTCTTGAAATTTCACTCAACGTAGGACCCTTTGTCAAAATACCCCTGGGGAGGAGGGGCTGGGTCTAATATTTAATTATAATCATTTTGCCCCCACCTTGCTTCCGAGTCGTTTATTTCTATTTCCGCCGGCGGAACCTCTTTAGACACGCCCACATTGCTAGCGCTAACATCTAAAGGCTTTAATATTAAAAAAATCTAAAACCACACCCACTGTCACGCCCACCGATACCATCTTATTGATTTTCCCCTTGGCCTCCAGCATTGCATTAATACGGGCAGCAGCACAGGCGGCAGACACACTAGGATCAACCTTGTCATTAGTGGAGGAGGAGGAGCTGTTGTCATCAGGAGGGGGAGCCGGTTGGTCCCATTTTGAACGTCTTTTCTTTTTGACTGGCTCGTCCGCCATTTTAAATCGTTTTACTGTTTTTGACCGTATAACATTTTTTGACCGTATAACCATTTTTTGACCGTATATTGGTATTATTTTAATCATAGATTTAATCATAGATATACTACACAGACCGGGATTGGAAACAGATCACGTGAGCGCATTACTTACTAATGACCCATCCTTGTTGTTAATAACTAGCAGCTGCTGCTAACATTTCAATGGCGAAAAAGTTTGAACCTGCGCAAAACTTTGTGGGACTAATGCTCCAACTGTAGGGGGTTAGGCAGTTCACTGATCATTTAAAAGCAAGCAGCACAAGTAGCTGCAGTGGAATAGACTATTTTTGGTTGATTTATTCTACCGAAAAGAGCAATAAAACAGGAAAATGTAAAATCGAGGTGTTGTACTTTGTGGGACTCGTTCTTTTGATCTCATCATCGGACCTATTGTTTGATAC